GAGGGCAGCGCCCCGGTGGGGGAGCAGCTGCAGCTGGCGGTGCAGCTGGAGGACAGCCTGCGCCTGCTCACCGCCAAGAAGTGCATCGTGCTGGCGGAGGAGGAGGACGGCGCCACCTGGAGGGCCTGCGCGCAGCTGGGAGGGTTCGGCGACATCCTGAGGCTTCAGCTGCTGCAGCTGCGGGCGGACGACCAGCTGGAGAAGGTAGGCCACCAAACAGACGGACCAGATGTTGATCTCGTCGGTGTGTTGGGTCTTTTGCTCATATCCGCTCTCTCTTGGCCAGGTCGACGTCGCCGCTTGTTCTGACCAACCTGGAGTTTACGTGGGACCGCCCATCATCTCTGTTCTTGAGACAACTGAAAATGATTTTAAAGATGGCCGCCTAAAGATTAATGACATTCTTCAAGACAGAAAACGATGGAGGTACACACGCAGCCTTAAGATGTCCCACGGCGCTGCTGGTCTGGAGAGGCTGCTGCGCGTCGTTGCTCCACACCTGGAGGAGCTGCAGATCGAGGACGAGGTGCAGCCGAGCGTGATGGTGGAGGTGGTGAAAATGAAGTCCCTCAAAAGACTGGACGTAAGATGCGTGAGAGACTTGGACTACCCGGACCTTCCCTTGCAGCTCGAGGAGCTCGCAATTCGTTTGCCTAGTCAAAATCAGTTGCGATGCGTAGAGCGGATGGCCCGGCTGCGCAGCCTGTGGGTGTATGATTACCTTGGTCCGGAAATGAACTTTGCTCCCTCGCAGCACGGCGCCCTGCGGTGGCTTGAAGTTGGCTTTAATGCGAAGCGCAAAAACACCATGATGTCGCTGATCCGCGCCTACGCCTCATCAGCGCAGGAGCTCCACATAGCCTGTAGCGTCAGTGAGAATTATGTGGATTCAGCATGCTACTTTCCCGATCTCGGCGAGGAGCTTGTGGCGTGCGGTCTGAACGCCCTGCGGCGGCTCGTCCTCGAACGTCCACCAAGAGACCCATGCACAAAGCAGCTCGCGAGCTGCCTGCTGCAGTGTCGGACCATCGGAAACTCCTTGCCCCCGCACGTGCAAGTGGTCTGTCAAATGTGCCACAAGATTCCGTTGTAGGGAAAATGCGTAAAGTGTTATTGTAATCTGCTTTTCAACATGGACTACATTACATGGTGGTGGTTGCAAGGGCGAGCTAACGTATCCCCTTCCTGTACTACACGGTCATGTAACTTACATACTATTTGTATAAATGCTCTAATCCTAATGAATGATTGGAAAGTTTTTTTTTTACAGTATTTGTTTACTTGTGCTTTATGAAAATAAAATGAGCAATGCCACCCTTGGGGTGTACATTTCTTCTCAATACATAGCCTGATCGCCAAGAAACAGTCGTTATTTATCGGTCGGCCCCACGGGAGCCACTTCAAGTGGGGCGGCCTGGGCGTTTGAGCCTCCAGCGTGGAGGTGCTGTGAGGTACCGTCCTTCGCCGTGGTGCAGCCGGCCCCTGTAGACCGACTCCTGGCTCCGCACAGCTGCAGCCGGCCGGTCTGGGACAGGCGCGGGCCGAGCGCCTGGCAGGTAGGCAGCCCGCGGGCGGCGCTATGTAGCGGGCCGGCCCAGCCAGCCGGGCGGCCGCGGGGCGCAGCGGTCGTCTGGAGAGTCCACTTGAATCAGAGTCTTCTCTCGGGTACAACTATACGTGGACCTTATACAGGCATTCACGAGTAAGAGCGATAGTAAATGTTCAGCGCAATGAGCATGTTTTCCTCCTCTGGCCGTCGCTAACGCCAGTCGGGTGGGTGGCCTACGGGGCAGCCGGCAGGCGCTCAGATTGCTCAGATTGACTCTTGCACAATTTTCACCCAATGCGGGTTTGCATACCGTCTCCCACAAGTAGACTTTTTACGAGGAGGCAGCCCGCTCACGCACATCCGCATGCGCTAAGGCATGGCTGAAGTAAAACTACAGCAATTTGGAGTTTACGGGGCCGTCCTGCATTGGCACCAGCCTTCATAGCGGCGAATGGGCCAGTGAGTGAGCCGCTGTCCCTGGCTGACATGAGTAGTGATTGTCGGCATCTTGACCAGCGCGAACAGACGACCAGACCAGACCCAGACCCTCGCGAGGCTCAGCGGCGGCGGCGGACTGGCATAGAGGACCGCGTTCGTATTTACGCGCGCCGCGCCCACCGCCGGCTCAGCGGCGGCGGCGGACTGGCATAGAGGACCGCGTTCGTATTTACGCGCGCCGCGCCCACCGCCTTGTGCGGCCGGCCGCCGGCCAATGAAAACAGAGCAGCCAGCAGCCGACAGCCGGCGTGTTGTGGACCCGATCATAACCTGTCCTGCTTGCAGAATCGTCAACCAATTTTAGACTGTTGTGCTGCTATTGGGGTCACAAAAACAGGTTGCATACTTTCCCCTATCCCTGTTCTTGCTCCTGGGAAGATTTGTATGACCTGTCGCAGAAGTGTTCAACTCATCTCGTTCTGGCCACCTGCCAGACAACTACATTTTAAAAAGTTAAGAACTGGTTCACAGCAACGGAACAGGTAGATTGTTTTGGATACTGAATTTCTCAATGCTGTCTAGCTTTCCTATTCATAAACGTTTTAATATGATGTGACTGTTGGAGCTACTGACCCAGTGAATTTTCATTATGCTACTCTTAAATTCCAATCATACGCGGAGCACGTGCCCGCTGCATATCACACGCATTGCGCCCGCCCGCCCACCCGCCAGCCTGCTGTGCTCTCCTTCTGAAACAAAAGCCTCCTTTCAATCATGAAAACGACCAATCAGCCCTTTTTCAATTGTCCCAGAAAGCTCCCTAAACAAACACACCAGCCCAAGCCTGCTCCACACTTTGGCGCCCGAAACAAAAGCCCGCATTCAAATGTTTAAACCCGTATAATTGCCATCCCACTTTCCTTGACCTATCCACTCCTGTGCGGCGCCGACGGAGACATGGAGCAACGCAAGGCAAGACATCACCCTCGTCGGGAAAGCAAGGAGGACACCCGTCTCGGGTAGACAACCCGACAACCCACACTTGGAGAGATTGAGGATTTCTCTCTCCTCCGTCCTCAATCTCTCCAAGCGCGGGCCGCCGGGCCGTCCACCCGAGACAGGCGTCCCCCTTGCCCTCCCGACGAGGGCGATGTCCCACCCTGCGCCGCTCCACGCCCCCGTCGGCGCCGCACAGGAATAGATAGGTCAAAGAAAACAAGATGGCAATTATACGGGTTTAAACATTTGAATGCAAGCTTCCATTTCAAACGCCAAAGTGCAGAGCAAGCTTGGGCCAGTGTGCCTGTTTGGGAAAGAGCCCCCTAAGACAACTAAAAAAAAGCTGATTAATCGCTTTCATAATTGAAAGGAAGCTTCCACTTCAAAAAGAGAGCACAGCAGGCCAGCAATCGCTCCGGGCCCCGAGACTGCAGGGAAGGGCAGCAAGAGAAGGCAGGCAGGCAGGCATAGGCACAATGCACGTGACACACAGCAGGCACGCACTCCGCCGTCGATGAAACAGCACTCACATGCAAACAAACAGAACACAAAGGAGTCAGAGCGGAAAGAGAGAGATGCCAAACACCCTCCGCGGCGCAGCTGCAAGGTGACAGGCACCATAACAGGCAACACAGCCGCCTCGTCAACACTCATCAATACCAAGACACTCCAAAATACAGCAAGGCAAGCGCAGGCGTTACAAAAGCCCTGCACGTTGTCCGAGCGGCATCGGTGGCAGTCGGCAGCCGTGTCGAGGAGCACGGCAGACGGCAGCCTCGCTCAGCCGGTCAACCCGTCCACAGCGCCTGCAAAGCCCCAAGTAGACAAGCCCGCACAACTCCCGTTCGCAACGGGAGCGCCCATCGGCCAGGCGTCCCGTCTCGAAATCAGGCCCAGCCAAGTCGGAGGCGGCGAAGCGGCCCTCTCTCGCACAGACCGCGCCAAGAGTGCCATGAGCGCGAGTTCTGCATTGATCAGAACTCATTTCTGCAGCAGCCGATGGAACACCAAGGAACCAGGAGGGAGAGCAAGCGCGCACCCAGGAGGGGAGGGGGGGGGGGGGGGGGCAAACAATTGTTTTTTTGTGGTAAAAACGAAAAAGAATACAAGTATTATTTTTTTAAAAGAGGGCAGAACTCATTTCTATCTATCTTAAATTGTGAATCTCATTATGTTCTTTATTTTTCACAAAGACTATCCAAGTTCCCTTCCTGGGCGTGTTATATTTTTTTTAAGAAGTTTTATTTTTTGAATTGTTAATTGGCCTGTTACTATGCAAATATACAATGTGTTTTTAGGGCAAGTTTTGTGTTTGTTCTTGTTTTGAGTAAATATCAGTATATTATATTTTGACAGTTACTTTTATTATTGATCTCTCAAATAGCTGTGATAGCTTACTTCAAGAACTTTTAGTTATGTATGCTGTATGCCTTACTTCTATGTCAATGTCAAAGACTGAATCGAAGTTACCGTACTAGGAGTAATAATCTTCTTTTCATTTTTCTTTCTTGTCTAAGATATGTTCTCTTTTTATTACTTTATCAAAGATTATTACTGAAGATACCTTATGGTTTATAGAAAACTTTGTACTACTGTATATTGAGCAATTTCTAACAAGTTGTTTGAAGTGTGGTTGAATCACAAATAAACTTCAAATAATTTCCTTTCATATGCTTGTTTTAATTATTAGTGGGTAGCTCACATTGCCTCCCCCTCTTCCAAATGAGAATAGGAGGGGCTGGTTGGAGAATAGGAGGGGCTGGTTGGAGAATAGGAGGGGCT